AAAAACCTTGTTTTCAGAAATCAATTGTTTCTTCGATCTTGCGACCATCCCTTATACTTCCTCTACCAGCAAAAAAACGTGGATCACATTGGCCTCTTCATTCTGAGCTATCACGGAATGGCAACGCTATGCTTTTGAACAATATCTTGCACATCGTCTTTGTGCTGGCCCAAGGAAGTCTGCCACTAGCAGATCCAACCCTCCTCAAAACCTTCGACTCTAGATCAAAGAGCACCGGCCATCAAGGTCACGAGCAAATGTTCGCGAAGTAGTGTGCTTAGTGTACTCTATTCCAGTCTTCAAGCAAGCTACCTGCAACCTGCTGCTGCAACCATCCGCAAAATTAGTACCATGTATTTCCCTTGGAAAGGGATGGCCTCATGCTCCTTTGTCTCTGACGGTACGGAGGGAACTCGGCAAGCAGCAGATTGGGTTCAGGTTGATGCCAACCAAACCAAGTTTTGCCGTCAGTGCCACAAAACGATAACAAGACCATGCTATTTCTACGAGCCATGGCGGCCGGGTTTGGGCTTCAGAGGGTGCGGCCACCAGGGCGGCGTTGAGGCTTTCACGTACTGGGATCAGGGGTAAGGAAGATGACTCAGATAGCTGAACGGCTCCATAGAAAACTCACATGATCCATGTACCACAGAAGAAATATGGGGTATACATGGCGCAGTACGCAGTTATACTACACATGACATGATGAAGGTACCTTGGCCAGAGTCCCTCGTCAATGGTCTCGATTGCACCCCGGTACTCTCTATTTCGACCACTTCGTTCATACCAGAGCCTGCTTACGTTATGCACTCAACCCTACGGCTCAGATCCTTCACACCGAAATCCAAGGTCTGAGTCCTCATGCTGCACTGAACCTTGCTTGCCCAGTCCTAGACCGCCAGTCGCCATTTCTTGATCCCTGTCCTGCAGACCCTGAGTGCCTAGCCTTACAACTCAATCCCTAGAGCCTTCACAACAACACAATGTTCCTGTATTCCATCTTCTTACAGGTCTCTCTGAAAGCTGAAGCCTTCTTCTTAAACCCTGAACCCAGCACCGAAGCCTTGTTGGGGTAGGTTGGGGAACTTTTTTGTTCAGGAAAACTTGCAACAGGCACACGTTATGCAACCACTGTGCACCCAAATCACCAGCCCTCCTGCAAGTCCCACTTCATCAACATATTCTCCCTATATCAAAACAAGTGGGGAAAGCTTTCGAACTGCAAAGCAGCCAGTCAGAGCCCGGGGCATGAGGCCTCCTCGGTGACCTGAAAAAGATTCTGGGCTTTAGGTCCTTTATGGTTTGGGGTTATGGATTTAGGGGTTTGGGGTCCTGGCTGAAAAGCCAAAGGATAAAGTTGACAGAACTCGCCGGTGAAAAGCAATCATTTGTATCTTGGGTAGCTCGCGAGAGGCCTGTTGAAATCTGTGAAGCAAAGCGATGAACACAAGCAACAGCAGAGCTTGGGAGGGCTCAGGCTCAGGGTTTGAAGCTGTCAAAACATCTCCAAAATTACGCAGGAATCTGCGGGTCAAGCAGAACCACTGGTTGGTCATCCCAAACACGGCATATAGGGTTCACAAGCCACACAAGCAAAGTCCCAAACACTGAAACGATCAACCCCTGAAGTACTCTCACCTTTCCTATGGCGCCCCGCTCCGAAACTTCAATTTTCAAGACCTGTTTTCAGCGCCACACTTACAGCAGCTTATGGCTGGAATCACGGTCCCTTGGAAGCCAAAATAGCTGGCACATGCTGCTAAACCCACCCTTCCGTGTCCGAAACTGAAACCTCCCCGAATGTCCCCGAGCTCACAATGCCAATCTTTGCCCAAAGAACCTCTTCAAGCCTAAGCAACGGAAGCCAAATCCTGAAAAGAAGACAACTTGAATAGGGTTAGTACAGAATTTTACAGAATTTAAGTGGATGAAAAGAAGCGCACATCCAGGTTGCAGTTTCGATCTTCCATGTGTGAGTGCTCAGAATTCCAGTATTATCTTGCGGAGAACCCTGGTCACACTCCTCCCCATGACCCCGTGAGCCTCTGTAGCTGCTGCGCCGCGGAAGAAGCCCTGGGCAGCGTCAATGCTGAATCTCGAATTGTCGCTCACAATTCAACAACGCCAGCATGCTGCTGGTACTTGCTTAGTGCTCAGGGCTAGGGCCTCGGCTAGGGGCCACTAGTGCTCAGGCTGCGCAGCTCATTCTGAACAAAAAGCTGAAATGCCCTCATTGCTTCGCTCCTGACGGTTCAATATATGACGTGCTGGGGGCAGGAGGGTTGGGCTGTATCTTAGCGAATCAATCGTTAGGATTCAATGTCTCGGGTTTGCCACACATACCGCTGCCACCCCATAATTCTTCGCCTGCAAGCCCTAAACCCTCATTGAGCCAAAACAAGCCCATGGGCCCCAGACTCCGGCCCCATGACCACAACTTGAAACCTGGGACCCTGCACCCTACAACCCCTATTTGCAAGTTTTGGGCGGGAAGAGTCTAGGTCCAGCACCGTCCAAGTGTCCAAAGGCTCCTGCGAACCAAGGAGGCGACAAATCACCCACGCATGTAGGGGGGAGGTTCACTTGTGATCATCTTCTGTTATAATGGCATAAGGTTTGCTATGCAGGTTCATTAGGATGTTCTCCGGGCTCAGCTCAATGAGTTGCATGTGGGGTTCGAGGCATTAAAGGTTGAGGTTTTGGAGCTGACTTGCGAAGACGTTCAGTTTGAGGGTGTAGAGTTCAGAGGACAAGGGCTTGGGCCCCTTGGGTTCGAAGAATTCTCAAGCACCACAAACCTGGCTTGCTAACTGCTACTGCAGAAAGCGAATACTTCCACCAACTACATGGACTCTACGTTCAACAAAGCCCCGGCAAACATATGTAGCAGCCGGACGGGAACAATGCAGGAGCTCGCTCCTTAGTCTCAATGGGTCCTTCTTGAGATAAAACCCCCTCCCCTGGAGCTGCAACACCAGGCAAACAGTTCTCAGTAGAATCGCCTAGCTGTGGCAATTAGGATGATTGTTCAAGGCCAGTAGTCCTACTTCTAACTCCAACCTCAGGCCACCCACGCACTCCCCTGAATCCCTGCAAAAGCCGGAAGCCACTCGTTCTTCAACTATGGTCCTACAGGCCTTCGCCCCGTCTCTGCCCTGAACCTTGACATCCAACATCGTAATCCCTACATGCTGAGCCCTATAAAGCTCGGAAGCCCAAAACAAGACACGCAAAGACATTCATGTCAGAGCCATATGTGCAATCCCTCTCCACGCCTGGCCACCCCGGAGACCCCTAGGAACGTCCGCCAATGTCGGGGAACCTGCCTTGTTTTCGAACTTGAGGTTTTGAAGCTTGCGGGTAGAGGTCAAGAGTGTTCAGGCTTGGGGTTCTAGAGTCCTGGAGAAGTTCAACATGTATCAGTACTGCTCAGTGCGGCTGCTGGCCTTCATGATAGCTTATCCTGCACGTTGGCACCCGTGCGCCAAGACCCCTTGAAACCCCAATACAACCCCAAATCTCAAACCTTCTCAAACCTTCTCGAAGCATTATTGCTTGTCAAGCCTGTGAGATATGCGCCCGAGGCACGGCAGCACCATCCCCATAGGCCTGCGGGTGAGAAAGTCAGGAATTCCGAGTGTGGAGGCTTGGAGTTGCATCTGGTGTGTGTGAGGCCGGACCATAGTGAAGCCAGACCATGATACTAATCAGTATGAATACGCATACTGGGGGTAAGCATAATGAGCCTGTGGGGCTCAGGGCCTCAGGGTATTGTTGGTGAAGGTTGCGGGTTGAAGGGTCTTTGTTTGTGGGGGTTCAGGCATTGATGCCAAGAATCCATGGCGTCAAGAATTGTTTGCTCTGATTTTCCCAACATGCAAAACCGCTTCAGATCTGGTGGTTTCCAAAATTGATGGATACGTTTTTGTGGGGCCGTGGGGCCCTCCTGAAAAGACCGCACATGATTTGGTCCATCTTCTGCGGGGCAGCTCGTTCCTGGAAGCTTTTTGCACCCTCTGCTTGCGTTGCTCAATTCCTCTACACCCTCTCAAGTCTCAAACCCAGCTTTGACTTTTTGTTGCAAAGCTTCATGCCCTGCCACGGCCATCACGCTCATGACTGCTCATGACTCCGTGCAAAACTGCTATCTTTTGTCGATGCGAGTTCTTATCATTGAAACACGCTGCTGCTGCATCTTTATCGCGGTGCGTGGTGGGTAAGCATGCCACGACCGGGCAACGTAATACACAGAGTTGGGAACATAGAAAACATCGCATGGCGATCATACAGTACAAAGGCAGAAACTGAGGAAATGTATGGGAGCAAGCTCGACCAGTTCTTAACGTATCGATCCAGAGCCATAACACGGGAGTTATCGGTGCAAAAGCGGGGATAAACCCGCCAGCGTAACACC